TCAAATCTTGATATTTTCCTATAAAAAAAGAGAAAAATTGTCTGAGGCTGGGAAATATTTATTGAAAGGTTGTAATATATATATAGGTTTATACATTCTAGTAGTTTATTTTTTAATCCCACCAATAAAAGTAGCTAATTTCAATGAATCTGTTTGAGACTTGAGGTTTTTTTTAAAAACAAAACAAAACATTGAGCCAAAGCAGGGGTCTTTTCCAGGTGTGATGTATGAAAGTCTTAATTTAATGGTGGGGATTGGTCTGATTGCATTGCATCAAAACAGCGATATCTCCAATTCATGCAAGAGACCCACATCCACTACTGCAGTGTTTCTCAACCTTGGCAACTTGAAGTCCACAGGACTTCAAGTTGCCAAGGTTGAGAAACACTGCACTACAGAATGTTTGTTGCTGGGTTGGAAAATACTGTTCCTATAGTGGGGGAGATGATTACCCTTTGAAAAATGGAAGTGGCCTTCTACAGTATTTGGAACAGAAGATGCCTTTGGAATAGTCATCAGCCAAGGCAATGAAGTAGCATATCCAGGGTTCCTGTTGCCAGGGAAATTCAGGAGCCATTGCTCAGGTCAGTGCACAGAAAAGACATTCCAATACAAATCTGCTCATTCCTAGACTTAAGGCAGGGGTGTCACTCAAGGCCCGAGATGGATTTGGCTTGTGATGGGGTTGGATCCGACCCGAGGGGCAGTCCTGGAAAATGTAAGGGGCTAGCCCGCGTTGCTTTGGCCCGGTCTACCCAATGAGAAGAGGAAACATGCCAGCAGTTTGGGGAGTGGTGTCAAGCTGGCCATGCCCACCCAGTTGGCCACACCTGACTGGCCCCCACAAGGTCAACCACAGCCCTGATGCGGCCCTCAATGAAATTGAGTTTGACACCCCTGATTTAAGATAATCCCAAATAATTGGAAAATCGATAGATTCTTTGTACGGAAAAATCCAAGCCAACTCTCAGATTTTGAAAACTGCACCTTACCAGTGGTACCACTACAGACGTTGCCTGTCTGCTCTAGGCTGGACTGGGCTAGGCTGGGTTGGAGGTGGCATCCTGAAAACATGCCCCCTTTGAACATGTCCTGGCATGATACACCGAATGATTGGGAGTAGCTATTCCCACTGATACATGAATACTGTGTGGTAGGGAAAAGGAAGCTGAGGCATCCAAAGATTGCTACTCTATAGCAAAGATTAACTCTGCAAGAATCATTTATCAGTCTCTTTGAAGAGAAGTAAAACATAGTTGAGAGTCCAAATTATTTTGATGGACTTCTTTCCCAGCTCAAGGACAGGAGGAGGACATGTTAATGTAGGTGTGAGGATGTGCCCCTGCTGCCTGGTTGAAGGAAGACAAGTGCAGCTTCCAAAGCAATGTTTCTCCCTCCTTAGCAACTTTTAAGATGTGTGGGCTTCAATACCCAGAATTTCCTAGCCAGCAAGGAGCTGAAGTCCACACATTTTAAAGTAGCCAAGGTTGAGAAAGACTTGTAAGAATAGAGCAAGAACACCAATGGGCCTTCCAAGGGATGTCCAAAAAGAGTTAAGGAAAATATTTCTTGACACTGAATTCCCAGTCCTAAACTGACAGTTTATGTTACTCTGTGACAATACACTAATAATCACATGTTGCATTTTCCCTACTCATATCACTGATCATAGATTAACCAGAACTTTATGAATAGCCTTGAAGAAACTAATAACCTTGTAACTAGCCATGATGGGAAACTTGGATTTAATTCTGGCTTGGCCTCTAATGTAACCTACTTTCTAAGAATGCTGGGAAGAGGATGTGCACTCTTTAGTTTCCTGAAAAAAATAAGAACACATTATACAAATATGCTTGGTATCCTGCAGTATATAACAAAATACAGTAGGGCTCTTAAGATATTGGAAATTCGGATCTGAAGGGAAACAAAAACTGAAAATAGAGGCCCAGATTAAAGTTGAGGCAAAAATCATTTGAAGCAATTCCAATATTTCACCTACATTATTGCCTTGCAAACCAACTAACAACCTTGTAAGGGAGCTCAGTATTGTTGATTTAAATCAGGACGTGGTTTGATAATTGTTATCTAGAATATCAGGAATGAGGCGAGAGTTGACAAGCTTGGAAAGTCTTTCACTCTACATCTATGATGTTGGCTTCCTGGACCAAGGCAGCACAGGGGTCATGTCTAAGATATTCCCTTCTTAAGAATGGAGGAATGAAGGAGTGGATCCAGATCAATGAGCATAGCTCTGTGTAGCTGTCCTCCTGAATCCCAGCAAAGGGATCGGAAAAACTTTCAAACACCCTCCATAAAAATGTCATCAAGAAAATCATAGGTTGCTAGAACAAGGGAGTGGAAGGACTTTTATTATTTCCATGTAAATTAATTTTACATCACAGTTTTGTGAATTCTGATTGTTGTCATCAGAGAGGGCATCACATTTCATTTTCAAAGTGCGTATAAATGTTTCACAGTCTTTGTCTAATTCATGTTCCTTCCCTTAACACTTCTCCTAAAGACAACTGAGGCAGACTGATAATATGATAAACTCCCCAATTCACCAAGGTTGACTGAGTGGACAAATAATACAAGCTTTTGTCTTCAGTTATGTTACAGAGCAATGACCCTGAGTGCAGGAACAAGAGGAACTACTCAACCCAAATGTGCCAGAGTCATGTGGAAGAGCTGCCTGACTCAGGAAACTGGCTCACATGCTGGCTACAGCACCTGGAGAATGTGAAAGAATTAGGGGAATAGCATGGGAAACACATGGAAGATGGAAACCAGACTCCCTAAAAAGGGGAGCAGGATAGGAAACCAGTGAGTTCGCTGTATGACAAGATCATGACAATCAAACATGGTCTAAAACCAAGATTGCAGGCATGAATTTAGACATCAGAACTTCTAAATGGCTTATAGGCCATCGGGTAAAAAAAGGGACCCTCTTCTCCAAGAGACACATTGAGCCTGGGGGAAATGGGTTCCTTTTTCATCCTCTACTGCCGACCTCCAGCCTCTCGTTTCTTGGTAGTAGACTCACCAGGTCTTCTGCATGAGAAAAGAACCACCAGGTCTTCTGCTGTATCTCTTACACACAACCATATTTGGAGAGACCACATCAGGCTCGGAGTCTCATGGTCTCCACACTAGTATAAATGCAACAGCCACACTCTGGGGCACAGTTTCAAGTGGCCGTCAAAATTCTTCAAGAAAAACAGTTTCTATAGGTGTACATAAAAGTGCCAATGGAGCAGAGACACGCATAAAACACGCAAGGTCTGTCATCTTTTGCATCAAACATGAAATGCACTTTCACAAAAATATGATATCTAACAGATCTTCATAAAATGATGGTGTATCAATCTGGAACCTTCAAAGGTATGCGAAATCAAAATTTAAAAAACGTTTTTTTTCTTCAAATCTAGTACACAGAGGTGAGATACACTACTCTTAAATAGGGAGTCTTCATTTAGTCTTGACTTTTTGAAGAATGAACATAGATATTGGGCAGGCTTTGTTGATAAAAATCAGAAATATTTGAAATTTCACCTCGGGTCAGAGTTTTGTGCCATTTCCTCAAATCCTTCAAGTCATACAGTGAAAGTTATGCATACTTTCAATTTGTGACAGGGAAGCGAGAAGAGAAGAAATATGGAACTACAAGTACCTGTTTTCCAAATTATTTTAGATTTATAATAACGTGGTTCATATAATAATCTAGGGGCACTCCACCAGTGGTGGGTTTCTATTTTTTTTTACTACTGGTTCGATCGTGCGTGAGCGCGCAACACTTCAGCGCATGCGCAGAAGTGTCTGGGCAGGTGGGCAAAGCATCCCGCCACTGCCATTACTGGTTTACCGGATCCGGGCCGAAGTGGCAGAAACCCACCTCTGCACTCCACCCTACTGTAACAACTGCTTCCAATTCCATATATTTCAGGACTTAGAAGCTGCATAGTTACACATGCACCATGGGTTGAGGAGAACTGCTTTTACTTCTACTGAATTTGCAGAATTTCAGACCACCATTGTCAAGTTTCCCCATTTCTGAGCAAGAAGATCCAGGAATTACCTTTTTTTTTTNTATCAATATTTGAGACGTGTGGAGGAAGGAGTCTAGGGTCATTGTGAGCATTTATTTATGCTCACAAAATTTATATATATAAATTTATATATCACACAACTCTCAAAACTCTGAAAGCCTTACAATGCTATATAGTTTCTCTTTGTGTACTGTAACATTATTTATGGTATATAGAAGATTCAGTAACTTCATTCTATGTTTGTTTTAGTGAGTCAAAGAGGATGGAATTGGAAAGAAAAATGCTTGAATACAGCACACCTGATACTTCCATGTAAGCTTTTTAAATCAACATGTAGTTATATTCATTTTACTGTGTATTATTATGTAATGTATAGTATGGAAATATTGATGTTTAAAATTTATTTAACAATACGATTAATTACATTGCAAATTGGCATATATAGTTAGACTTTTATGGATGCATATATATTGAAAATTGGAATGGGGAACATGAGTAGAGAGAAGGCACACAGGGAAAGCAAAAACTAAACCTAGGTCACCACTGATAAAAATAGACCAGATGAGGTAGAAAAATAGTAATAGAAATACTACTATCAAGCCACTATGTTTGAAATTAATTGTATGGAAAAGTGAAGAATATGCAGTTCAACTATTCAGAAGAAAGCATGTCTCATGTTATCATATAGGACCTCTAAATCTGGGTGCAATTCAAGGTGCTGGTTGTCACCTTTAAAGCCTTATATATAAGCCTTTTTCCGAGAGTTTCTGATCCAGATTGGGCATGCTGCAGATCCTATCAGCCAAAGTGTTGACTGGTAGGAACTGAAAGACAACTGTAGCCCCTGACTTATGGAATATTCTCCCTTCAAAGACTAGAATGGCACCCCCAGTTGGCATTGCACAAATAATTAAAAACTTGGCTATGTACCCGGGCTATGTACCCAGGCCTCGGAAGGTGTTAAGGATCCTGTTTTTGGCTTTACTATTAGTTGATTAATCATCATAACTGCTGTTTATTTATTTTATTGATGTTTTTATTGTTTTAATTATTTTAAATTGTTTTAATTACTTTAGAATTTCAGAATTGTAAGCCTCCCAGAGTCATTTGGTTGAGTTGGACAGCTACAGAAATTGATTGATTGAATGAATGAATACAATAAATAAAATTGACCAGCACAAATAGCATAGCAAATATATTGGGCTGACCACTTGCCTAGAATACTAGGGCAGCTTATTTTCCTGGTGTTTCTGGAGTCTTATTTTAAAATAAAGACTACAGTATTGTTGAAACTTTTTAGAAGGTAGGCAGTATCTTAATTTGAGAATCAGATACTTATAGGATTCCAATGGCTGTAATCCTGGATAAAAAATTAATTTTCCTTGCCGAAATGTAACTTAACACACTGACATTGAATGTTTCCCTTGTCTCCCTATTCTTTCTTAAAGTTATGCCTCTCTTGTGGCATGCATATATTTTAATGACTATTTAATAAGTAAGTATTTTCTTTGCTGTGATGAATTGCAACTTGCCCTAAGGAAGCATAGCATATGATATGCCCATCTCCAGATATAGAACCAAATAGCTGTAGAACACTGAATGGTTCAGAGTGAGCCTATGCAAATTTTTTAAAGAGGCTCCTTGAAATATGTGTGGAACAGATACAAAACATGTCTTTTTGAATTGTTAAAGCTACCATGTCTTTTTCACAGGCTCACATGTCACTATGTAGAATCACAGAAGCAGTTTCTAAAGCAGTTTTGTGAGCCTAGAAAAAAAATGCAGGTGTTTAATAGTTTGAAAATGTTTTGCATTGCTCTTAAGTAATCCAAACACCTTATGTGAAGGATTTAATAACTACTCTTTTTGACGATAGCAGAGGGATGCTAACCAGTATGTTCTGTAGAAATTTTGGGTTGAAAGGATCAAAAGAAGATGTATTTAATTCTTATCACCTCCAAATACTATTTTAGGAGTCTGACGAGTGCATATATAATTTGACTACTACAGAGATGATTCATTTAGACCCTACCCCTGTTTGCAATTGTGTTTTTGTTCCTTGAACATATGCAAGCAAACAAAAGGGAGGGACAAGTGAGATGATCTTGGGCTGCGTGTACACTCAGATTATAACTGGATTATACTTCATTGGATAAATTTTAAATTATTGTTTTGAATGTGCTATTGAAGAAGTAAATTTGGACATTTAAAGTAAAAAGGAATAAACCCCCCCCCCAACATTTATTACGATTTGTTTTTATAGTACTGTCTTCCTTTAACTTTAAATATTATTTTGAGAATCCTTTGTGCATTTAAAAAATATTTCTCTTTACAAAAATAAACTGGTACAGTTTATGGTTGATTTTTTGTTTCTCTGTAGAACTAAATTGAAATACACAAATCTAAAAAAATATTTAAATGAAATATGTGAACGGCAGAAGAAATCTCTGCTCCGAAACCAAGATTTATTAAAAGAATTTGATTGCATTGAAGCTCACATTAGGAAGTTTGCTTCAAGATCAGAGTCCCTTCAAATGCTAAAGGTATGTTGTGTTCTATCTGTAATAAATAGCAATAACTTTGAAGCCTAACTTGCCTATTCAGGAAATCTTACATGACATAAGTTGATAAGTAAGGATAGCAGTAGGCTGCTATTTTCATCTTTTTAAAGCTATGGAAATGAGGTAGGTTGGAGATCTTAAGGGTCCTGAATATCTATTGCAACATTATTTATGTGCCTGAAATTTAATTGTTAAATATGCAATTTGAAGTCAGTGAAACAGGGCCTAAAAGAATATACTGAAAATGCTTCTTAGCATTTCATTTTATTTCAAATTCCTGTGATTCTCTGGTGTTTCATGTGCAGCATGTGATTTTTAATAGCTATTAATTCATTCTTAAATGCTCATTATGTTTTAGAAGAGGGTCTTTATATTGAATTTACTGCATCATCACCTTTGATGCCTTTTGCCAAATATACAGATTTTAATTCATAATTCTTATGCATTTGAGTTTGTTATGTACATAATACCTAAAATGAAGAATTTTGTTTCAAACTGAAGAAGCAATTAACAAAGTTCTAAAACTTTTTGTGTAGTTTTAAATAATTCCATTTTATATACTGTATTTATCTGAATGTAAGCTTAGTTATTTTCCAAATAAGTTAATGTTAAAATTGGAGATTATCTTAAATTTCTGAGAATGTAGTAATGGAGGCATGTGAATTTTGTCCTGTAAAATCTTCCTTTTTTTCTGGTTAATCATCTCATATTAATAACATCTTCTTACATTGTAGGGTAAATGCAGCATTCAATATGATTAAAATTAATGTATGTAGAATATTTAAATGAGAATGCATTCAGAATGCTTTCAAACATGTTAATTTTTATACTGTATACTACATATTACTACATAAAACAATCCAATCATATAAAATAATTTAAAGGAAGAAGAAAAACATATGCTTAATTGGTTTCCTCTGAAATCAGTGACACATCTGTTTAACTTTGGCTACATCACAACCTGAATGCTTAATGTTTATTTATAATCTCTCCATATACTAGGCAGCGCATGAAAAAGAAATTAAAAATAGGCTGTTAGTTGAGAGAAAAGATACGTTAAAACAAGAAATGAGAGATGCTACTGAACATCAGGTATGTAAAAATTCTAAAGGCATTTAAGACTATTTTCCTTATTTTATTTTTTCTTTCTTTTTAGTTTGTATTCCTTATTTTTCCTTGTTCTTTATTTTTCAATTATTTTAATGGGAAAATTCATGCATGTTTATATTTCTTTTTGAATCAGTGGAATAGAAGGTACTGATTGGATTGTAGAACTATCTTAATTGAGAAGGTTTTTGCATTTTTTTAAAAAATTGGTTTTAAAGCTTGTGTTGCTGTTCTCACATGCCATTTAAACAATACGATTTTAGGTAAGAAGCAAAATCATTGTGAAATTAATAAACATGAATTGAAACCCTCACTTCCTAGTACTATTCAACTAACATTCTTAAGTTCTAGACTCAAAATAGGGTGGCAAAGTCTTGTAAATTTTAATTGAAATATTTTGAATTTATTATTTCATACATTTTGACCTTTATTTTCCCTCTAAAAAGCAAAGATTGCATACCTAAACCACAGACAAAGCCGACAAGTAATACTCAAATATATTCTGCTATATATCTGTGGTAATGCAGCCTTCTAATCCCCCCTCCTATCTCCATATAAATGATACAGTTCAAGACCAGAACTGTTTTTCTTCCCTAAAAGCAGGAAAGCTCTTTTAGATGAAATGACTAAAAACATCTTGTAATAACTTGGAGCATGCTGGCAAGAGTAGTCACTTGTGACTATATGTGAAACCCCCTCAGCTAGTCGATATTGTAATAAGCCAAAATTGGTAGCATCACTCCATTATTCAGAAAAGCCAACAGCATGCTTGTCCCTTAGGCTACAACATTCATTAAGGAAAGCTTACTGGGCTGAAAGCTGGAAACAGATGATAACAGGATATGATTTTCATATTTAATGCATTCCTTGGAAGAGTATGTGTGCTGCAGATTGATAGAAGAATCAACTGCTACTTTACTGAAAGACTTTCTAGTTTGCCCTATAGCTACCGATGGAATCATTCAGCCAAGAAATTAACTTTTCCTCCTTTTACCTGCTTTATGTATCAGCTAAGCAGGCTGTCTTGCTGCCAGTAAATGTTATTATGCATTTAACTGTTTGGTATTTAAGACTCTTATCAGGAAAGAAACAGAGGCAACACTATTTCATGTGTGTGTGTGTGAGTGAGGGGGAGATGTGTTTAATAGTGGCAGGAAGGTTTTCTTCATTGCATTAGCAGTTGTTAATCTGAGGTTATAGATTTCTTTTTTCCTGGTCCTAGATTAAAAAGGTGTTGAAACCTTGAATTTAGACCATTCTTCCTTATATACAGAGCAAAGAGCTTCACCAACCTTGACCTAGCTAAGTAGACTTGTACAATATAAACATTCATTTTGTTCACATATTTATGAAACAATATGGATAGAATTCTAAAATACTAATTTTTCCTGTGTCCATTTTTATATAATGACACCTAAAATATTTATCTGAATGGTTTTTATTTTAAATATTTTATATTAGATATAGAAAAGCCATAGAGTTCTTTACGATTATTACAGTATTATATTGCAAATTGTTTGTGATCTTTCACTGTTCATCTTAAATTTATTAATCCTCTGTAGGAGGATGATAGCTTTTACAAATGCTGGCTAGGATCCAAATGACAGTATACAGAAACAAAAACACTTCTGTAAGCATAGGTGGATAGAATTTGATCATTCTTCCTCTGCAGCTTGTATTCTAGACACTAGGCAGAGCTGTTTACCTATTAGGATTCTGCAAGATCATTCAATAAATTCAGCATAGCCCTATCATGTGTGTTGAAATGACTTTTTATTTTTAAATGCAATCAGAACTTAAAGTTAATAGAATGCAAGATCATGCACAAAACTGCACATGTATATCAAAACTAAACATATCAATCAAACTAGTACTGATGTGCTTTCATTTTAAATCCACCTGAAGCTCAACATAAGCAAGACACTAAAGTTGAAGTTAACAAGACTATCCAAGGATCAGAAAGATCTATTGGCTGTATACAGGTAGCTCTCAACTTAAACTGGTCACTTAGTGACCATTGAAGTTACGATAGACACCCCCACCCTGCTCCCAAGGTACTTACAATACAGTTCCAAAGTTCTGCTGGCTACCCCGCTTCCCCCATTGATACTTGATCACAGGCACTTATCAACCACAGTCATTTCAGGCACTTGGCAACCAGCCCGTTTTTACAGCCATTTTCAGAATCTTTTGATCATATGACTGCAATTTATGACATTTTTGATGACAACAGTGATTAGTTCCACTTTTCGGCAAAAAAAATGCCCCACAGTGAACAATGGGTTTGCTAAACAATTGTGATATTTGCTTAACAACTGTGGCAAAAAGAAATTGTTTGGTCATCCCTGATTGTAGTATTAAAGTCAAATCCCAAACTGGCCTTCTAACATGTGTACATTACTTTTCTCCCACAGCATGTTGGCATTCCTTATCACTTTTAATGTAACTAACTACTGCTGCTGTTCAGGCTTGAGAAAGAAAGTTAACTAAACCCCCAAATAACATAACAATCACAGAACTTTCAAATTGAAATAATGATTTTCAAAATAACCAGGTTTTATTGTAGGCATGAATCAAAACTACTGAACGTGAATTTTTTTTTCCTTGGAGTAATTTGCACATCTGTAGTGTAAATTTCTTCCAGGTAGTGCTTTGGCAATGTGTGCTGACTTATTGCTAGCTATGTTGCTAACCCCTTCGGAGCACATATGAAACTTAACTTGACAATACATGTTGCATTGCTATATACTGCTTGTGTTCAGTGGAGTGGAGGGTTCCACCACAAAACCGTGCTCGACTAAACCGCGTCCGACTAAACCGCGTAGCTGACGTCATCAACAGGGCGACAACAGCGCGGAGACAGAAGCACACTAACCCCTAAACCTAAAATTATCCCCTAAACCTAAACCTATCCCCCCTAAACCTAATCCTAAACCTAACCCTAAACCTAACCCTACCCCACCTAAACCTAATCCTAAACCTAACCCTAAACCTAACCCTTAACCTAAATCTAACCCTAATCCTAACCT